GTGGGGTGGGGTGGGGTGGGGTGGGGTGGGATAATAACGTTCATGTTCCCGTGCACCCACAGGCACAGCAACCTCATCATCTTTCTTGCTGTCCTGCAGACACAGGCAGTGATGGTGGGGTGGGGTGGGGTGGGGTGGGATAATAACGTTCATGTTCCCGTGCACCCACAGGCACAGCAACCTCATCATCTTTCTTGCTGTCCTGCAGACACAGGCAGTGATCTTTCAAGATAAGTGACCGGTGGGGTGGGGTGGGGTGGGATAATAACGTTCATGTTCCCGTGCACCCACAGGCACCCGTGCACCCACAGGCACAGCAACCTCATCATCTTTCTTGCTGTCCTGCAGACACAGGCAGTGATCTTTCAAGATAAGTGACCGGTGGGGTGGGGTGGGGTGGGGTGGGATAATAACGTTCATGTTCCCGTGCACCCACAGGCACAGCAACCTCATCATCTTTCTTAGAAGTAGAAGTAGAAGTGGAAGCAGTAGTAGAAGTAGAAGTGGAAGTAGATGTAGAAGTAGAAGTGGAATTGTAGGTAGAAGTAGAAGTAGATTCGAAGTAGAAGTGGATGTAGAAGCAGAAGGAAAAGTAGAAATAGATGTACAAATAGAAGTTGAATGCACAAATGGGAAGAGAAGTAGAAGTCGAAGTAAACGTAGCCGCAGAAGCAGTAGTAGAAGTAGAAGTAGAAGTGGAAGCAGTAGTAGAAGTAGAACTAGAAGTGGAAAAAGAACTAGAAGTAGGTGTATGAGTAAACGTACAAGTAGAAATGGAAGTACAAGTAGATGTAGGAGTAGAAGTAGAATTTTCAGTAGAAGTGGAAATTGATATAGGAGTAGAAGTAGATGTAGGAGTAGAAGTGGGATTGTAAGTAGAAGTAGAAGTAGAGATAAAGGTGGTGGTAGATGTAGACGTGGAAGTCGAAGTAGAAGTGGAAGTAGAAAGAGAGGTGCAAGTAGAGGTAGAAGTGGAAGTTTTCAGGTGCACAAGCGAGACGATTTCCAGGTGCACAAGCGAGACATTTCTCAGGTGCACAAGCGAGGCACATGCCTCCAGAAAATACGCAGAGCTATCCATTCAAAAAAAAGTTCTGAGATATGTGGGAAGAGCTCGGGGGAAATTGGGAATAGTTTATCTAGTTTTGGAGAAATCTAGGAATAGTTCTGGGAGAATTGGAAATAGCTCCGGGAATCTCACACAACCGGCACCGAGCTGCTGATGATGGTTGGCACCGCTAGAGGTGAACATCCAACACCTGGGATGCTCCAGTGGCTACCCCCTGGTACCCTCTGGTAATGACTAACATAGCTATTGAAAATTACCATTTATAGTGGATTTTCCCATTGAAAATGGTGATTTTCTATAGTTATGTTAGTTTACCAGAGGGTAATCAAATATGGCAATGGAAAATCCCCATGGATGGACCGATGGATGGTTGCATTCAGACCCCTACCCTGGTCCAGAAATGTCCAGAAGTCCAATCAACACCAAAAGGATGAGACCAGCAATTGTACTGCGCAATCGCCCCATTGCCATTGGCAGCAATGGTTCCAAAATGTGCCATGCCCCCCCATGTTCTGGTATATTCTTGTGTTTTTGTGGTGCTCAATGGGAAATGTGCGGGTAAACATGGGCAACAGTACGGGGGAAATATTGGTAAACGAGCACAACAGGAAGTTGCTTTCCAGAGACTTCCAGCCTGTCCAGCCCAGCATAATCAGTTCATCCCCTCAAGCCAAGTTAAAGGTTTGGGGGTTCCAGGATTCTATGCTCGGTAAAACCCCAGGGATCCCCAGGGTGGGGATCTCACTCCATGCCATGCCCTTCATCAACCCAGGCAAGGTTCCTTTGGTCAAATCGACCACGGCTGTACATCTTTGTCTGTCGTCCAGTTTGCCCATGGCATTGGCGCAATCCTGACGGATTCCCCCAGGGTTTCTAGGGTGTGTGTGTGTGTGTTTGATTTTAAGGGGAAGGAATCCACATTTGTCATTTGTGCTACCCTAAAACACAACTGGATCCTTGATTTTTGTGTGAGTCATTAAAGTAGAATTGGATCCAAATTTGTGCTACCACCGTTTTTTCGTCAAGAAAAACGGATAGGTTTGCAATACACACCAACCTTGGCATAGCCACTCTTGATGTAGCCCCCAGGGCTCTATCTGGGTGATCAACCTGGGTCCCCGATCCCCTCCGACAGTGTCTGTCTACTGTAACTGTGAACAGTTGGCCGCGACAACCCAACCAGGTGCCAAGCATCTTGATGGTCCATCTCAAATCCGAACCTATGAATTCCGATCTTTTACCCATGTCTCTCTCTCTCTCTCTCTTCATTGCCATCTCCAGGATATGCCATTGAGTTATTGGATCAGATTCTCTTCACCATATTTTCTATTCTTTTTTCCTACCTGTTTATCCCGTGCTCCATTTTTCATGGGCCCATCATGCATGGCCCCATCCGTCCTCCAGCAATTTCTTGGTGGAATCGCTGGTCCCAAAGCCACGCACCTGGATCTCAATAGTGCCGTTGCCTTCCACCAGCACCTGGGATGCAGCTGGTTCTGGATCGCTGCCTCTGGGCAAATAAATAAATAACAAGCCCCAGAAAAGGATGGAAAAATATGGAAAAATAGAATCCCTATTCAAATACTGAGAAATTCTTGTTCTGTCTTGTTGGCAATTACTTCAATGTAAGCTCTGGTGCCAAGACAGGTGTGAGGAAACTTGGGATTGTGCATCGCTTGGGGAGAGAGAAAGAATAAGATGAATAAGGACTGTATTGCAACGAAAATCCCCAACGAATATTGGGAATTTATTCGCAGAATGAAGGTTTGATCATGGACATCTTGGATCCATGCGATGTATTTCACCAAAGTGGGGTTTCACCAAGGGAGTATGGTTGAAAAATGTTGAAAATGAGCAGACAAAAACCGGTCCGGACAATGACTGTCCTCTGTCAGGACTCATGTTTGAACTTCACAAGTCCAGGAATTCGCTCAACTGCAAGCCATTGCCATCCTTTTTGCCCGGATTGCCAGAATCGGGCAGCCGAGTTGGCCGTGGTGACATTGAAAACGCTGTCAAATGTGCAACAATTTGGAAGCCATTGGATCTCCCATGTTGGCATCAAGGCAAATGAGCCTGCCAAGAAACTATATACACAGTTGCACTCACACGCGTGCGAGATATACAAACACTGTAGATGCTGTATTTGCATGTGTTTGCTGCCATATTGTTGTATCCATGCCTCGTATCCTGCGATGCAGCCCCACACGCAAGTCACCACCGTGCACACACACATGTGGCTGATCATTTTTCTGCATTTGTTTATGCCACAGAGATCAAGAAATTCAGGATGAAACCTGGGATGAAATTAAAGAATACACATGAGATTTAGAATTGGAATGACTCACTATGACATACTATGACTATGAATCACTATGAATCACTAGTAATTCTTCGGATTCGTTAGTCATGTCCAGCCATTTCCATCCACACTTCAGGCGGCTCCAATCTTCCACACCTTGGACTTCCCCGGAAACCATGGTGGATGATCTGGGGATAAAAAGTGGGATGGGATAGGATGGGGTTCTGGCACCCATCCTAAGTTTGTGCCTTTAAGGCTAAGGTCTGATAGGTCTGCAACCTTTTCGAGCCCGTCATACATGCTCCGCATGTCATTTTGCAAGGAGCTCCTGGCAAAATGAGATGCGGAGCATGTACGCCGGCCTCGAAAAGGTTGCGGAACCTCATCAAGACATTTGCAACTTTGGTCCGCCATTGTTTGTAGGTAGGACACTTTTTGGCGTGCTAAGTGTTTTCTACCTGGGCTGCGAAAAGGGACACCATTTCCAGACCGCCAGGCAGAGTTGTGTTCAACCGAGCAGCAGACCGCAAACAGGTTGTCCAACTAGGTTTTGCCGCTGTGATTTCCAAGTACTCTGCTCCATGAGGCCAGTGGTCATCTCGAAATCTCCAGCCCCTTCAGCCAAATGGCTGCAGGTTCACCCCTGTGGCCGTCAATCACCCCCATCGGGATCATCTGGAAATGGTGGGGGCATTCTGGTCAATGAGATTTAGAATTGGAATGACTCACTATGACTATGAATCACTGTGAATCACTAGTAATTCTTCGGATTCGTTAGTCATGTCCAGCCATTTCCATCCACACTTCAGGCGGCTCCAATCTTCCACACCTTGGACTTCCCCGGAAACCATGGTGGAAGGTCTGCAAGCTTTTCGAGCCCGTCATACATGCTCCGCATGTCATTTTGCAAGGAGCTCCTGGCAAAATGAGATGCGGAGCATGTACGACGGCCTCGAAAAGGTTGCGGAACCTCATCAAGACATTTGCAACTTTGGTCCGCCATTGTTTGTAGGTAGGACACTTTTTGGCGTGCTAAGTGTTTTCTACCTGGGCTGCGAAAAGGGACACCATTTCCAGACCGCCAGGCAGAGTTGTGTTCAACCGAGCAGCAGACCGCAAACAGGTTGTCCAACTAGGTTTTGCCGCTGTGATTTCCAAGTACTCTGCTCCATGAGGCCAGTGGTCATCTCGAAATCTCCAGCCCCTTCAGCCAAATGGCTGCAGGTTCACCCCTGTGGCCGTCAATCACCCCCATCGGGATCATCTGGAAATGGTGGGGGCATTCTGGTCAATGAGATTTAGAATTGGAATGACTCACTATGACTATGAATCACTGTGAATCACTAGTAATTCTTCGGATTCGTTAGTCATGTCCAGCCATTTCCATCCACACTTCAGGCGGCTCCAATCTTCCACACCTTGGACTTCCCCGGAAACCATGGTGGAAGGTCTGCAAGCTTTTCGAGCCCGTCATACATGCTCCGCATGTCATTTTGCAAGGAGCTCCTGGCAAAATGAGATGCGGAGCATGTACGACGGCCTCGAAAAGGTTGCGGAACCTCATCAAGACTTTTGCAACTTTGGTCCGCCATTGTTTGTAGGTAGATGTAGGTAGGACACGAATGGCGTGCTAAGTTGTTTCTACCTGGGCTGCGAAAAGGGAGACCATTTCCAGACCGCCAGGCAGAGTTGTGTTCAACCGAGCAGCAGACCGCAAACAGGTTGTCCAACTAGGTTTTGCCGCTGTGATTTCCAAGTACTCTGCTCCATGAGGCCAGTGGTCATCTCGAAATCTCCAGCCCCTTCAGCCAAATGGCTGCAGGTTCACCCCTGTGGCCGTCAATCACCCCCATCGGGATCATCTGGAAATGGTGGGGGCATTCTGCACATTCCCCACTTTACATGGCAATAGTGGAGTAGAAAATGAAGACTAAATGACGAATCAGTGGATGGAATGGGTCCAACATGGTCAAACCAAAAAAACACCAGCGCTGCGCCGCTGCGCCTGACAGGAGCCAAGGCCATCTTTATAGGTGTGGTTCGTCAAGGGCGCCAGCTTGACAGCGACGTCGCCGACAAGTGCGCTGGTGGTCGCTCCTGAATCACACAGCTTTGCAATCAAATCATCACAGGTTTGCACACATACACCCTCGGGTAACCAAACATGGCAATGGAAAATGCCCGTTCCCATTCAAAATTCCTTTAGAGGAGAATTTTCCAGTGCCATATACAGTACATCATAGTACCACTTCAAAAATCACCCGCCTGTATCATTTGTTAAGTAAGTGACCATCCCTCTCCACAGATCTCATCTACCATCATCCATGATTTCCATCCATTTCTAAGGTTCGATGGAAAACTAAGAACATGTGGACACACCACTGCAAAGTTATAAAAAAACGAATCCATATCAATAATAATTATTCATCTTGAATCATCTTCTGTACTAATCTTGCTCTCAGACTGTCAAACTTGTCACTGGACTCCCGTCCCACCATGTCCCACCATGTCCCACCATGTCCCATCATGTCCCACCGGCCATGCGTCGAGCCAGGACCACTTGGCGAAAGCCTTCCAAGTCCTTCTTGATGGCACTGGCCGCCAAAGCACTGAGGCGCCGCGACTGGAAGAGCCGCCTGAACGGTGAAAACGACCGGCAGATCTTGTCATCCCATGTCATCCCATGTCATCCCGTGTTTGTTTTGGAATCCCCTTAGTGGTTACAGAAAATGTGCCTTTTTTTTGCTATGGGATCCGGTCAGGGTCAATTTCCATCAATTTCCGGTACTGTAGCCCGTCAGGCAGCCCCGTCAGTCGGATGTTGAAACTCGCGCCTTAGAAATCCAGGCGCTCGGATGCTCATCTGCACCTTGATGCAGGTCGTTTGGGATCTTGACCAACCACTAAGAATGGCTTACCCTCCGGTAAACTAACATATATAACTATGGAAAATCACCATTTTTAATGGGAAATTCCACTATAAATGGCCATTTCTTATAGCTATGTTAAATTACCAGAGGGTATCAACCAGGGAAGGCAGTGGCCACAAGTAGGATTTTTCGATGGATCGAGATGATCTGATTCGAGTCATGAGGCCTCGAAATTTCACTGGAGAATCCACGAAGCCCCGAATTTGAGGCCCTGACAGTTGAGGACTCTTGGGAAAATCACATCCTTCCCCTATGTTTTCCTACAAATTCTCAGGCTTCCATGCTTCCCATCACACATCAGGTCACTGCAACGCTGCAGGAGGGTGAGCCCTTCACCATGAGCGGCGAAAAGGAGGCCACGCCCGCATTCTTCAAGCCGCTGGTGGACTCCCAACTGATCAATCGCGAGGGGACCTGGCTGATGAGCCCTTGGTATAGTTTGATCATGTTGAAACATGTGTTGAAACCACCCATATATTGACAAGGGGCACAAAAACATACAAAAACCCCTGTCAATCACAGTTTTGGAGTTTTTTTTGGGGGTGTGGGTGAATATTTAGGGAGCGAACTGAGGTTTGAAAGATCTTGGAAAGATTGTATGGTGGTTGGACCGTAACGCTGTAGCTATGACAGCTACGACATGCTGTCATCCACTTCAGGAGTCGTCCCTTCTTGGGGGGGCAGGCTGATGCAACTTCAGTAGCAGACCTTTGATCCATGATGATCCCCTCAGTAGAAACATCCCGTGCTTATCTACAAGCGCCCAGCCCAAAGATCAGGACCACGCCTGTCTAGTGATATCTGCCGTCCAGGATAAGGAGAAACCCAAGGCCTTTTCAGCAGCTGGAAGTCAAAAAAGAGAATGCCAATGGTTTTTGAAGCTGCACCATTTTTAAAAAAATGGTTGCACCATTTTGGACCTATTTTGAGGCGATTCACATCTTCACCCAACACTACATTGGGAGCCCGGCCCACGGAGATGAGACAAAATTACAGTGACTCTGACTTGCAACCACTTGATAGATCCAAACGTTCGGAAAAAATATAGAAACACATTCTAATTTTTTGATAAGTGCGGCGGGTAAATGATTTTTCTGCATATGTTTGGGGATTACATGGGATTACTATAAAACATATTAACATATCTAATACTGTAGCGGCTCCCCCATCACTTGGCCTGCAGGGACCAGGTGCTGGAACGAGCGTTGTTGTGAACCTCCACCTGGAGCGAAGGTGACTGGCAACAAAGGTGCCCAGTTTGAAATTGCGTCAACCCATTCCAAACTGTCAGGAAAAAATGTGTGTGTTATATATATATAATTATGTATATATATATAACGTGTGTGTGTGTGTGAATTCAACGCAGGGGGTGCCAGAGGAGTGAGTGAAACTTGCACCAAAGAAGGCCTTCACTCCATGTGATGTGAAAAGGGGACGCCGTTTTCACGTACCTGCTGGCTTAGTTATGATCACCTGTTTTTCCTCGAGGCTGTTTCAGGTACAAATCGGTTGATGAAGCTGTTGTTTCTTCATACCATTGCGGACCTCACCCACGTGGATTTAACTTCGAACCTCACCAGTTTGGATTTGACCTCAGAACTCACAACCAGACCAGTGTGTGTGTGTGTGTGTGGCGAACCCTGAATCAAAGGGAATGTTTTGTTAAGCGGTTCTGTTGGGATCACATGTTCAAGGTAGCAAGCACGAAGAAGTTCACTGCACTCTGAGGCGTGCAACACATGAGTTTGGACCCAGAAGTTCACGACACCGTGTGGCATGCAATGCCTAAGTTTGGATACAGCAGTTCACTGCACTGCGAGGCACGCAACGCATAAGCTTGGATACGGCAGCCTTATGTAAGTTGATGCATGTTACACATGAGTATGAATCCGGCGCCTCAGTGCATCTTTAGGTGTGCAGCACATGAGTTTTGATCGTTCGTTTCGAATTCGTACATCGAATATCTTTGAACCTCTGAAGTTAAGCAAGAGAGAGCCCACACAGTTTTACATATTTTGACTCCGGCGCTTCATTGCATCGTCAGATGTGCAGCACATAGGTTTGATCGTTCTTTTCAAATTAGTACACCGGATTTCTTTTGACTTCCGAACTTAAGCAGGAGGGAGCCCGCGCAGTACTAGGTCAGTAGGAAGTGCTGAGAGTGCTCCCAGCAGAGAAGGGGTTTGGATACAGCAGTTCACTGCACTTTGAGGCATGCAATGCATAAGCTTGGATACGGCAGTCTCATGCAATTTGACGCATGTTACACATGTTACACATGAGTTTGAATCAGCGCCCGTGCATCTTCAAACGGGAAGCACATGAGTTTTGCTTGTTCCTATCGAATCAGTTTACAAGCAGAGCAGGGGGGCACGGAGACTGATTTCCTATCCACCATATAATAGATATGTATATATATATATAGATATAGATGATATAGATAGAGATATAGATAATATAGATATAGATATATTATACTATGATATACTATGTATTGTAGCAGATATTGCACCAAGCCACACGGGACAACATGGTGGACCACTCGGGGTGATTCTGCCTTGGTTGCTCGCCCGATGTGCGAGCAAATTGACGTGTAAATTGGGAACATCATCGTGTTGACACATCTATGTAAAAATCATGAGTAGTGAAACATACTACTGGTAAAATATCGTAAAATATTGAGAAATATTGTAAAATGATGTTGTACACCAATGCAAGTGTCCATTGGGTACTGCAAATGTCCAAAATTCTAGTGAAACTATCAGGACACCTGAGGCAATGCCCAGCCGGCCCAGCCTCACTTTCCGAGTTTCAGCCCATGAGAATCTTCCCCTTTTTGGACAAACCTATTATTTTTTGCTGGTCAACGATCTATCCCAATAAATCCCGTATGTCCATATCCCTTGGTGAAATCCCGATTTTGGGACACAGCCATCTTACATGTTTTGGTTAACAAGTTACCCAAGTGTATCCCATGACTCATGATCTCCCCACCATACGATGCTGTGCTAAGGAGATCCAAGGAGCAAGTTGGCGTAAACCTCATAAGCCTCGCCGGCGGTGGCTCCGACGATGATTACAGAGTTGCCTCAGCGGAAAAATCATGAAAAATCCGTTGGCCATCTGGACTCTTCAAACATATGGGAGTGCAAAAAAACTGGGCTTTGCTCCCAATTTATGGCATTTTTATGCAATTTTAAGAGGGAAAGTGCTGATTAAGCAATGGTGGAATAAGTAATTACAGTTCTAATTACATAGTACCATATCTTCAGGCAAACCCACATCTCATAAAATATCATAAAAGTACTGCGAAATTTTGGGAAAAATTTGGTATACAATCCCCCGAACCAACATGACGAAATAGACCTGGCTAGGACCTAGCCATTGCCTGGGAGTTGAAAGACAAAATGGACGATTTTCAGGTTGTTTCAAGGTCTGTGTTGGTTGAGGGGATGTATCATCCATTCATGCGTGGGTCAATTTTGATATGCAATGATCCAAAGTTTGGATGGAAAAATGTCTGCGAAACATTGCGAAAACAGGTGAAGCTGGTGAATGAAACGACTCAAAATCAGCTGAATTAACTGGGTTCGATCATCATGCTCGAAACAACAACGCCTAGTCCAAGGTCCAAACAAAGAGGAACAAAAAAACACCTTTAATAAAAGGAAAACCAACTTATTCCATTGTTGTCAATTCAATCTCTCTCGATCTCAAAAAAAACCTGAACTCCCAAGCGGCCGAAGGAAAACCACTCATCGTTGCTTCTTCTGGCCGTTGGCTCTGCATCCCTGGCTCAGGCAAAGGGAACAACTCTGCTGGATCATTCGGCTTTGACACGTAAATGTGCTCTACAAAATATACGTCATAGGGATACAATAGACCAATACATGCGTACATATAATTATATATATACATATATACATATGTATATATATATATATATTATATATATACAATGTATGTATACTGTATAGTACATCACCCCTAGTAGTGTTTAATCCTGTTTAATCTATCTACTTCACTGGGATGCAGCGGGCCTCACAGCAACCGGCGGCTGGCTGAATGGCTTCTCTAGATCTAGGCAGAGGCCAAACAGCCCAAGGGTCAGGAGCCTGTCATGCGACCGCCCTTGAAGATTTCAACATGCGGCAAAAAAGGAAGGATTCTTTGGAATATTATGTTGGAAAGAGAAGGGAGTCTTCTATTCAAAAGATTTTTGGATATGTTGACAGGGGTTAGCTGCCATCATGATCATTGACGGCCATATCATTCGGATAAAACATCCTAAAACACAGCAGCTGAAGGCCCATAGTGTGAACCAAAAGCCAGAAGCAGGTTTTGGGTATCCTTAAATCAACGGGGGATGGGTCAGAGAATTGGGTGCAGAGATAGACACACACACAGATATATATATATATAACTATATATATACAGTATGTGTATGTGTATATATATATATATACGTGTGTGTATACGTATGTATGTTAAAAATATATATATACATACACTATCAAAAAAGTTACTGATATTTATATTCATCTTTGTTCTTTCTTATAGACTACAAATAACCAGAAAATCTGTGTTCCCTGAGAGCTCTCACTACGTTGACCCCAACAACCAATATCCCAATCATGAGATCTCCCAAGGGGACCGCCTCCTCCAACTCCGACCCAGCCGCGACATGGCGCAGCACTGAGCTGGGGCTTTCCACCTCCGATGCCAAGGATGGATGGGAAGTTGGCTCTGAAAATCCATCCTGGTAAAATCCTTCAGCGTGTCGCGCCGCATCCCATGGAAATCTGAAGCTAAAACAGGGCTGAAGGCATTTGTGAAGTTGGCCTAGCTGTTGTGATGCGCTTTCATCATGCTTTTCAATGTAGGCCATGATGATTCTTGAGCCAGAAATGTTGAAGCGATTCCAGCCACTGGCTGTTGTACCGGGAGGGCCTGCAACTGCAAATCTGATGTTCTTGGGATTACCAACCAGCAATCACAGGTGTCCAAAAGGGGGAGAGAAGCAACATCTCATTGAATATTTCCATCTGTTTCCACTATTTCATGATTCGACTTTTAACACGGACGTGGCCGAGAGGAAGAATACGTGAAGATACCTTGGGAGTATCACCTCTCCCGACTCCAGGTTGGAGTAGAACGTTTCCAAGCGCCCAAACGTGGGATATTCAGGTCGGACAGCCGAGCCCTGCGGCCTTGCGAGCAGGGGACCTATGTCCTATGTGACCTGGGAATCCCGGAATCGTTGGTGGTGGGAACTGGGGTTATCCAGTGATAAACGGGATAATCGACTCAGGGATACTTCGGGGATTCATTTTGTTTAACGGTGATTAAATCTGTTGAACCAGGTTTAGGAATAAGCTAAGTGGGATGCTTCTCCAAATTTCTCCAAGTATCCGATATGAACGCTGAGCTCTTGCCACTTGGACCCACAAAAAGTGTGGCCGCTCCCTCGTTTTTGCTGAGCAAACGACTGGATCCTCAAGACTTGAACTCACTGGGATCCTGGACTCCAAAACGCAATCGCGTTAAGGTCACCTTTCGCCAAAGGTTTCTTTCACCCATTGCTGGCAGAATATAATTCATAGAAATTACATGAAATTACGTACATGTGTATGCATGTGTATATATATATATATTATCTGTGTGTGTCTATTTGTGTGTGTGATTATACGTGTCCGATGATTTGATGATATTGCAACCGGCTCTCAAGTTTGAAATGGGATGAAACATTCGTCCATCTTCATCCCCTGGAGGTTCATCCTCCACAACATTTTTTTGGACCTCTAGTAGGCCTACCGCATCAGCGTTGGTCAAAGCAGTTCTGAAACTGTTTGTTGATATTAACCATCATTAACCATCATTAATTAATGATTATCCATTGATTATCCATCAACCATCAATATGTGTGTGCTATAGAGAGAGAGAGAGAGAGAGCGCGGAACGCTGTGGAAGGAAATGTTGAGTCCAGGCATTGCACTTCTGGCTGTCCCTCAGGGCACAAGGCGGATAACACACAATAGATCAAATAGACTTAGAGAACCAGCATGCAATTAGCATTAGCGAATATGTTCACCAAAGATGTTTTTGCTTAATTTCCCAAAACAATGTAACGGCGTTCCTTTCTGTGTCTATATATATATACACATTTACATATACATATGCATATAATATATATATATATATATACATATATGTTACATACATACATACATACATACATACATACATACATACATACATACATATATATATATATGTGTAGGTGCGTGTGTGTTTGAGAGAAAAGGAGAGAGAGAGAGAGGGAAATATAATACAATACAATACAATACAATACAATACAACATAATACAAAACAATATTATATAGATTTATATAGTATATGCATGTATAATGTATACATATATCAAGACCTTACATTCAAAAACCTACAACGTTAACCTGCTCTTTGCTTCCTTGATGGTTCTCCACTATATAACCATTACATATGTCAGTCGCTTCTGGGCTCAGTCGGCCATTGCTAGGTCGCTAGAATTTGCCGAAACCTATCGAAACCTATTTTTCAAGACATCTTCGAGGTTTTTCACAAAAGGTGACATTGTCACATCATGTCACATCCAACACATCCAGTACATCACTCAGATTTGGAGGATTTTGGAGGCCCAGGAGTCCTCAGCAAATCTCAAGCAGTGCCATGTTCAGCAGAACTACGATGCCCTCACTGCGCCGGAGCTGGGACGCTGCCCTCGGGGCCGCGGACGGTGGCACTCAACAAGGACAAATTTCGTGCGCCGATTGCGCCAGCGGTGAGGTCTGAAAGTTTCGAGGTTATTCAGCGGTTTTCTCGTTTTTGGGGAGAGGAAACTGAGGAAACGGATCTGAGTTTCAGGATTTCAGAATTTGCTTGGGATACATTGATGCTGGATGTTTTAATGGAAGTTGGCCTGGGCATAACTCAGGGGCGACACCTGCTTTCCTAGCTGAGATTTGTTTCTACATGTTGCTACCATCGTGGGTAATCCCTTCAAAGCTGAATAGCCGCCAAACAGCAAAACTGGCAAGGGATGCTGCGAGCAAACTCCAAGCAGCTTGAGTGGAGCTGCACATCTGCTTCTGCAATCATGGTGAGTTGAGTCCATTCTTGGCTGCTGTCCCAACCTTCCGTGATCTTTCCTCTGTAGACCCCAATAGGAAAGCACCACTTGGCAGATCGGATTTGTCCGGGAGCCAGAGCCATTGTTCGAAACTCGTTGCATCACCAGATTTAATTATGGAGATGGAGCCAGCTGTTTCATCCCATAACGTTGAATTCATGATTTGGCTTGCAGCGGAATGCCTTCCCCCGGGCACTGTAGCAAGTTGGGCCTCTGGAAAAACATATGTAAACAACGGATTATTGGGAGGGTAAGTTCAGTTGGGGCTATAGCAAAGTTTCAACCTTCGTGCATTTCAGCCCTTTCGGTTCCGTAAATGGATGCTTTGGATCAAACTGAATCAAACTCATATCCAGAGTCTTGAACTTGGGTGTGAACAAGTCCTCGAAATGTCAATCATCATTTGACACTAGCAATCTGTGGTCGCATGGCCAGGCACCGTCAAAGGAATGGGGAGAGTTCCAGGTTGGTTCTAGGGAGAGGAGTTTTTCCACAAATAGGTCAATGGGTCTGGGTCAAATCCCTAATAAATCTAATAACACAACGTATGACCATCCGCAACACACATCATAGGTCGCGTGTGGGTTCGCCTGGACAGCCTACGACTGCCCATCAGGGGGAGGCCGGAGACCCGAAAGGTCACGGCTGCAAGGCCCATCGGATCGGCGTGTCAGGTACACAACGGCGATGTCAGACTCAATCCCGGAAAAAACTTCTTGGTTCACTGCTTTTTCCATCATCCAGCCAGTGATTGAATTCGCAGACTGGCTAAATTCGACCTTCAACACAGAGCTTGGCTAGTCTGGCCTTAGATTCCCCTCAAAAATGCCACTTCTTGGTGGATTTAGTGAGATACATTCTTTACAACAAAAAGATATCCATCTACGCGCGTCTAAAATTGACCATCTTGACCCAGAAAAGCGGAAACCATTTGGGCCACTGCTCAACTGATCTCGACTGCCACGCCGCCGAGTCTTTCTTGTGTTCGGCTCCGGTTGACGTGGGCGTTCACTTCTTCATTGCCTCCCGGAGGACTTGGGCAACCGAACGATCCACGGCCTTTGCGATGGGAATTCCACTGTCAAAGAGTGGGAAGCTACCCAAATAACGGGGATATATGATATATACAGTTACATATGATTACATATGTATTTATTTGCTTATTTACTGATTTATTTACTTATTCATTTGTTTACAGTGTTTATCTATTTCTATTTATCTATTTATGTTTGATTCATTTTATCTATTTATCTATTTATCTATTTATCTATTTATCTATTTATAGTTATTTTTGTGCTTGTTCATTTATTTATATTGATATATGTATATGTTTCATTGTTTAACTATTTATATATATATGTTGGTGCGTGTGCGTATGTATATATATGCATATATATACACATAACATACAAATAAGTATATGAGTATATATATATCTGTGAGTATATATGTGTACACACACATATATATATATATATATATAGTGTGTGTGTGTGTCAAAGATTCTTAGATGTTTGGGGGTGAATTAATGGGGATCTCAACAAATTCGGATCGGCACAATGGGGCCAAATATGTAATGTGTTTTGTGTAAATGAATAAATAGCTACCTGTTGTCCTTCTGTGTCATATGTATATTATATATATATGTGTGTGTGTGTTTTTAATTCAGAAGCATTTTCCCAGTGCAAGAGGATCTGCGGAAAAATGGGGGTCAAAATCTGAAACCCAGTTTCCGCAAAGGACTGGGCTATACGTGTTTAAACTTCCATGGGGCCCCCAAAATGAACTGGCCATTTCCGATTCCCACAAGGGAAAAACCCACTTGTTTGTGGTTCTGTGTCAGTTTTTGAGTGTGCAAATGTCTCTCTACTATTTTGGGAATGGCACTGAACCTAGGGAGATCTCCAATCAATAACATAAACAACAGTTGCACCAATCTCATCTGGAGTTGATGACGGATATCACCAACAAACATGGCTTTAGGCTCACTTAGGGATATGATGAAAAATGGCATCCACAATCAAAGTGAGATCAACAAAGAATTGCTGCCATCAAGTAGTTGCGACTCTGACCAACAAACATGTGAAACTCCCAACAAGGAAATCAGTACTGATTCAACAAAACAACGAACGAAACTACCAACAAACATGTGAAACTGATTCCCAGGCTTGGGGACCAACATGGACCAACTAAATCCACTAGTACTTTGTGGGCTGCTGTCTGAACACACCGAAACAGCTGAAGCAGCGTTCCTGGCCAACTCTAGAGGTCCCAGGCCCCGCACTGAGGGACCCGGCCACGGCAAAGGGCATCTTGCCAAAGGCATTGCTGCGCAACGGGTCTGCGCCATGCCTTGGTCATCTGTGACTGAGAGGGGGATCTTTGGAACCCAAGAATTCTGCTTCCAAGCAGCTGGATACAGCTGGGATGTATCTCCACCCTTGTTGCTCACCTTTTGTTGGTTGCCATTGCCAGTAGTATCCCCATATCCCCCACGATTCGCATTCAACTCCTGGTCGTAGCGACGCCGGGCGGCTCTAACAACTCCGTGACAACTGCCAAACTGTTGGAACGCGCTGCCATGTGCAGGGCGGTGTCGCCAAAGTTGTCCTGGAAGCAGGGTACCCATGGGGACCCCTGTAGCGTCACAACATCTCACAGTCAACATGGAACAGTCAAAATCGCCACAGCCCAGCCGAGAAACATCGTCCAACCATCTTCCCGCCTCATGAGGGGAGTTAAAGCCCTTACTCCGCAGATTTCAGGGGGCGCGCGGTCCTCAAAAATCTGTGGATTCCAAGCCCAAACCATCCCCTTTACTGAAGCCAACCCATCCTGCCACTTTTTGTCACCACCTTGCCCTGTTTTGGGCTCAGGATGACCCAGACAAGCTGAGCTGCAAAGTTTTTCTCGCAGCGTTCAACTGGAGATGTCTGTTGATGGACAACCAGGCACCTGTAATGAACAACAGGTGGAAGGTCTACGTGAGGGGGTGTACTTGCAAAACATCACATGTATGTATGTATGTATGTATGTATGTATGTATGTATGGTATGTATGGTATGTATGGTATGTATGGTATGTATGGTATGTATGGTATGTATGTATGTATGTATGTATGTATGTATGTATGTATGTAGTGTTTGCATATATTTACCATATGCCTTCAGTTTTATCTATATACAGTCATAAATTAACATCCTTCTAATCATTGGGCCAGGTTCGTTTCTTCCATCAACAGCAAGCCTAATGCAACCACAATAAAAAACATCAGGGGGGGAGCTCCAATTCAAGCACGCGTCCTTTCTCACGCTTTCTCATTCATCATTCGAAGTCATGTGTACAGTGTATTATATTATACATATATATATATATATCAAAATATGCATATATATGTATATACACATAATGAATATTATATCTATATATATATATATAATCTATTTATATTTATGTATATAATCAATATGATCGTATATATAATATATATTATATTATATTATATTATTTTATTTTATTTTAAAATTTATTAGTTTATATTATATTATATTATATATACTCCTTACAATACCCAGGAGGGGGTCAATACACCCCATTCTATTGGTATAAAACGGCTGGCCATGACCCCTTTAGGAATAAAATGCTAATGCCTTAGCCCAAAGCTATTTCCATAAAATCTATGGTTTGACCCATAGATGTGCAAAATATTCTGATCATATGGCAATCCGTACGGATGATATTGTTGCCTATCATGCCTTCCGTACGGATTTCCGTGGGGATTTCTGAATGTTTCTGATAGATCAACATGTATACAAAACCAAGTTCCCGCATGCTCTTGCCATGCTGAATCCACCCTGGCGACATCAGGAACACTGTGTTTCTTTTTCTCTCGCATTTTGTGCTTCGTGGCGTCTCTTCTGCCTTTGGCCAGCTCGCCCCACAGCATCAGCCATACCCACATTGACAAGTCCTACAGGATCCTAGTGCATCGTAATGCCACGGACTGTCACCATGCCAGCTTCTCAACATGACACACGCCCAGCAATATTACAAAACTTAGGAAAACGTCATCACAGGACATTCCAGGAAAACCGATGAAAGGACTAGATGGATGTAGATGGGTTGACCACAGATCGAAACACAAGAATGCAACCTGCTTGGACTCAAAAAATGGCAAGTTGCGAGGTCTGACACCCATAAAAGGTATTAAAATGTATAAGAAATATTCAGGAATTATCAGGACATATCATGATATATCAAGATGGCCGTGCATGGTGACCGCAAACGAATCCAGAGATTCACGCGTGTCCAAGTTATTTGCCACATAAAACGACCAGCCACCATGCAAACCCAAGACCCCAGAGGTCCTGAGTTGCTTGCTCAAGGCCGACTTCATCTCGACATCACTAACAGTCATTCATATTAAATCATATTAAAGCAAGAATGACAAGGTGTAAAATGACAAGTGCCAAGGTGTAAAATACCATGAACCATTCTCCTGATGGCCATGCATGGTGGCTGCAAACGAATCCAGGGGTTCACCTGTTTCGAAATCACGCGCTAAACTCACCAGTCACGATGCAAACCCAACCCCAGAGGTCCAGAGTGGCTTGCTCAAGAACGGCTTCATCTCGAAATCACGAACCCAAAAAAATGATAGAAACAAGAATGGAAAGCTTGGGAATCAATAAAATGACAAGTTCCTAGGTCCAAGATTCATGAAACAACGTGAAGCGTACTCCTGATAGCCATGCATGGTGACGGCAAACGAACCCAGGGATTCAAATGTTTCCAAATCAAGCGATAAACTCACCAGTCACCATGCAAACCCAAGACCCCAGAGGTCCAGAGTGCCTTGTTCAAGGACGACTTCATCTCGAAATCACGAGCCCAAAAGCGAGAATGGAATAGAATGGAACCTTTTGAAATCAATAAAATGAGGAGTTCCAAGGTCTAAGGTGCATGAAACACAATGGTCCATTACCAAAATGGCCTCACATGGTGACTGGAAACGTCTTGCCAAACAATCAAGACGCACATCAAGCGTCATGAAGCCAAGCCGCACCAATTATTGGAATGTACATCAGAGTAGGTGCAGTAGCAGTGCAGCTTGAATTAAGCCGTCACATCTGGCATCTCGCACATAGCTTTCAGGAGCTTCAACCAAGGCCCTCTTTGCTGATCATTCAGTTGCTTCTTCAAGGTCTGGAAGTGCAATGCCACTGACTTACCATATTGCGCTCTGTCTCGTTTGGCATACTCCTGCTCAAAGAACACTGGCGACTTGAGCACCACTGTCGTCCAGGTTTGCCCCTCAGCGGCAGGAATCTTCAATCTGCACTTGCCGGAGTCCGCATCGAACGCTGGTTTGTCCGGGAATTTGGTCACATCCAAATCCAGCACTTCTACCATTTGCTGCTTGATCAATCTCCGACCTTGGTTGGAACGTCCAAAATTCTCTGCAATTGGCTCCAACTTCTTCTCGTTGGATGAAGTTCCCTTCTTCGACTTCTGCTTTTTGACTTTCTTCTTGACCTTCTTTGATGCCGCCTTCGCTTTTGCGAGTGCTTTTTTTGCGAGGCGTGGCTTGGCAAACCATCTTGCCCTCCTCTTGCGAGTTTTCCCTTTCTCTTTGGCATTCGCAAGAGGCATGTCCTGGGATGTGAAGCTGCATCTCCAACCATCGGCTGTCCTCTCTTTCGCCTCGTCGACAGATTTCATGGAATCCTCACTGAGTGTGAGCACGCACCGGTCAATGAGCTCGTGAGCTGGCAGGTTGCCTCAAGACTAAGGGCCAGGGGAGTGGATGCAGGTTCAATAAATTGACCAGTGTCAAGGTCTGATGTTCAATTATTCTGTCACTAGGGCGCGACAAAACAGGCGCAAACTTGCTACATGACCTTTTGATTCCAGTGTGCCGAAGTCTGGCAGCATCATGCGCATCAAGGTAGGCGATCTGTGAAGCACAGAAGAACAAGAACATGCGTCTACAAGAAAAATCAAGTCCAAGTCTAACCCAAATAAAATGATGGACATTGAGGTCTCAGGTTCGATATCCTGAACATATTTGGAAATGTTTGCATTGCATTGATTGGATGTATGTATGATGCCAAGGTGCACTCTTCGCAATCCAACACCGTCACCAGAGCATCCAAAGGAATGATCCGAACCATGCTGGCGTCCGAAGCCTCAAATGTTCGAGGCATGTCCTGCACGGGATCGAAAATTTTCTGTCTATGAAATCATTAATCCCGAGCATCTCAAATATCATGTTATATCATGTTATATCACGCAATTTCCTGTGGAATCCTGCATGATCATCTTTATATGGTTTTACCTGTCTTTAAAATAATGTTATATAAACAAAGAACGATACAAACTATGTCAAGCAAACAAAACCGACAAGACTTTGTTGGAATCGTCATGTTTCATCATTGCAGATCACAATCGACGACGAACCTCTGTCCTCCTTTGGGGCCAGTTCTGCCACACGGAAACAGTAGCATGCTTCAACCAAACACGCCCCTGGCATTGGTTTTCTCTTCTTCCCAATGCGCCAGATAGTCAGCACCAATCCAATGAGGATTGCCTGATCCTCGCTTACGTAGAGCACAACGTTGCCTGACCTCGATCTTTAACTGAGCCCCGGCGGCACACAAAAAAAACACCAACCCTTTCCCCACATGCCACCCCACAGTCGCTGTATGAAACCCAGCTCAGCAATGAAAACCAACCTAGGCAACAAAAACGATCCAAAACGATCCTGAACGTCACTGAAACATACTAAAACAATCTAAATAAATCTAAATCATGCCAAATTTTCAAAATCCAACATCAGAGCAAGACCAGTGCAACCTGAGTCACTGGATGGTGTTGGGCTGAGACAAGGGAGTCGTAAAGGCACTTCTCAACTTTGTGCCCTGTTGATACCAGCGCTCCAGCCTTCCAGCCCGAACTCTGTCACGACAATCTGTGTGCTTCAACTGCTTGGCCTCCAGAAATTTATTTGGTTCACATGGCACAGTTTCCAAAGGAAAACGATGGAAAACGTATGAAAAAGTAATCCATTTACATCTATGGGGTTTGGACATTGCATTTTATTGACTCTCGATGATTCTTTAACATTGAAACCGCGCCCAACCCAGTGCAATCCAATCTGTTTCATTGTGTGTGCAAGTGTTTCCTAGCGTTTGCATGCAACATCAATCAACTGCCCTTCGCCTTCAGCAAGTGACAGTTCTTTTGATACCAGTTCAAAGCCCGAGACCGATTTGCGCGTGGATTTTTCACCCACTGGGAGTCACATCCGTGGGGAGCACTGCGCAAGTAAACGTTGAGGCGCCATAGGGCGTTCCAGCGATCGCCCCCGCATGACCTTGCTCACTCAAGCAAACTGGTTCCAATTGTGCAGTTTATTTTTGATACATTTTCAAGAAATCCTGTTATTCTGTGCGCTCTGCATGCCTCAAGCTATTCATTTCATAGGAGCTATAGCTGCGTAGCCAAAGAGAAGTGAAATAAGTGAAGCTACAAGATGCTACAGGCTCGGCCAAGGCACATAGCTGAATCCAGCGTTCCTGGAAGCCTGTCCTTGGGAGCGTGTTCCTCATCGGGATGTAGAAGATCTGAGACATCGGCCTTGTCTTCCTCAGACAAACGCTTCAGCTCCACCGTGTGGTCGCCATGCTCCAGAGGTACATGCACAATCTCAGAAGGTTGCCCCTCAGGTCCCTCATCAGAAGCAGCAGCAATTTGCGACATGTCTTGCAAAGCATGTCTCAAGAGGTCAACGGATTTCCTGAAAGGGGTCCAAGTTCACCGTTTCAAAGATTCTGTCATGAAGAGGCCCGGCAAACAGAAACCACTCTAATATATTCTAAAATCATGTAGAATATGTAGAATCTTTAATTTAATAAATACCAACCGTGCAACAGGTGGGTTAAAAAAATGTCAACTTAGGGGTCATAACTCATCATTTCATAGACTCTGGCATGATGTCCAGCAAACAGAAACCATATGATACCATATGAATCCATATGATACCATACACATATCAGCTACCAATCATGAACCCATGTTTATCATTGTTTATCCATTTTAAAGATGTTTGTTCGAAAACCAGAACATCAAAAATATTCAAAACCAATGTGTCAATGCCCAGTGGCAAATCACGGGCTTCTGCAGCCTCTTCCTCATCATCCGAATCGTTTTCAAAGTCCATGACATGCCCAACACCACTGTCGAACCAACCTGATTGGACGCTGTCCTCATAGTACTGCCGAAGCGATGCCTCTGTGACACCCGCGGCAAATGAAGCTAACTTCACAGCCGAAGAATAGGCACGCCCACAGCACTCGCGGAACCTTGTGACATCAAGGGAAAAGAAAAACATCTTGAACAGCAGCTTTCTCATGAATCAACAAGGCATTGCCGGAATCCAAAGCAGCTATGAGATACATTGAGATACCATGGTAATTTTATGTAATTTTTGTGTAATGCTACTCAGATGCAGCAAGATACCGCAGGGATTCTCAAACATTCTAAGAGCAGTAAAAAGTTGGTATAAGACGGTATCAGATGTTATGAGATGGAATAAGGTTGCATAAGTGCAAATCAAGTCAACTTAATGCATGTTAATGCGTCGGGAAGTGAAGACATGTCAAGGCCAGAAACTGCCCCTCGCTGAGCGGTGGCTCCTTTGCGATCTCTTTCAACTTGTCATTCTCCTGGAAAAGTTTCTGGGATGCAGCGGCCATCTCCTTTTGGGACGCATCCCAAAATTGCATTGCTGAGAGCTGAGCGTTGGATTGGGATCGCCGCAATCTGCCGAACATCTGCTCTATGGTAAGCTCTGAGCAGCGGGCCGAGCCATACTGCCAAGGGCACCAATCGTCCTGTGGCAAAGCTGTTGCTTTCATGTAGCTCAAGGGGGTCACAACTGTAGAATTTATAGGAGCAGGGGCTTCCCATGAGCTCAGAACGTGTCAGAACAGCACATGTTCTAAAGATTCCAGGGATACTACAAATATACTGTGGGGTCCCACCAACTCCATATCCAGGCGGGTGGCTGGCTTGCTGGTTGCCATAGTCACCAATGACAGTGTGAGATTTTGCAGGTTGCCCACTGTTTCCCGAGCCATCGACAAGCTGCCCACAAAAGCGCCGCGCTCGGCTTCCAACTTTGCTCCCAGCAGCTGCCACAAATCCAAAAGGATGTATCCTGACACGGAGACCTCCAACCTCTGAGCCAGCGAGAGGGCTTTGTGCAGCATGGGGCTGAAGACCAGGGCAGTTGAAAGTGACCAAAGCAGGCTTCCTCGGTTCATCCATGGAACGGAGATCATGGACATGTTTCCTGCAGATGTCCCCACGTAGAACCAGGGATTTGCCAAGAGCGCTGAGAGACAATCTGACTGATTGTCGTCGCGGCTGTATGCCGATTTTGGCATGCCGCAGAGCAAAGTTCCGCTGAGATCCACCCAATAACGACCACAGTGGATCGTTCGAATGGCGCTCATAGCCTGGCCTGCTGAATTTTTGGAGGCGTGGCCTGAGCTACAAGCAGTTGATGACATTAATTTTCACTTGCTTTCGGTGATGTCATCAAAGTGTTGGCCCAAGTCCTACCAGTGGTATCCAGTGGTACACTGTGACAGCACATGGCTGATGTCATCAAGTTCTATGAAATGACAATGCTCAGCACTGGAACATTCATACAATACAATCTATTTTCTCAGGACATCTTCAAACAATGGATCTCAATCGCTCTCAAGTGAACCGAGCAGTTGAATGCCATGAGAAGAGAACCCTTGAAAGTCATCTGTCAGGAGGGTTTTCAATTCACACATATATTGTGACACATGATATGGTTCAGCAAAAAAACTTGAAAAGAAAATCTTGTCATGACGTATCTGAGTCCAGGCACATGGTCCTGGAAGGCAGTAGTAATGCCGACCCTTGAAGGTTGCCAATTTAACTGGAAGGCGTGGAAGATTGTGGTCCGGCACGGGTTGAAATTTCAGTTCGCTGAAGAACTTCGACTCAAAGGATGACCTGAGGACACGAGGAGACTCTGCCAATGGAATGTGGAAGGCCATCAAAAAAAGAAAAGCATACTTAAGGCAAACGACATACAATAAACATCAATAAAATGACCTAACAGACCTAACATGAGGGCAAGATTTGTATAAAAGATGTTGCCTTTAACAAGAAATACATCGCACAAACTCACATGATCTGACATCATCCCAGAAACAAAACAGTTCGATCACGCTCTTCGGGATGGCCAAACATGATTCTCCTGATCGACTGGTGGCTTCCATGGGCATCGAAGCAAAGGACGCGAACAAAGTCATGAGCGCTTTCCATGAACAAATCCACGGTCTGCACCATGAACTTGGAGTCAACCTCCCCAATGTTCACCGGCATCTCTGCCGCGGGCAGCGCAAGCTGCCGCTGTGCACCAGGATCCCAACACAAGAACGCCAACCTTACTCAAGTTTTGACGAACATTCATCAAAATTCAACAGAACCATGTGCGGCCATGTGCATAGTGTATCATATTGCAGTCATCATTGACGGGTAGTGATCTAAATTTTGAATCTGAGCTGAAACAAGGAACATGTCAGTTGCAGGTGTGATGTTTGCAATCTCGAGATCCTCAACAACCTCAACGCTGCAATTCTGATCCTTCAGCGGTCTCCATGCGCCTCCCACCAAGTTCACCTTGTCATTCTTTTTGTCGTGAAATTGGGTGCTGATCTGCAGCAAGTAGGTGGCATCAAATGCAGCTATGAACCTACCTGGGTGTTGACATTGGCTTTCATATGTTTTCACTGGCTTTTATAATATCTTCTAATGGTTTCATGCAATTCTATAAAACGCCGGTGTTTTAATATGTTTTGATGATGTCATCAAGTTCTATGAAATGGCAATGCTCAGCACTGGAACATTCATACAATACAATCATATACAATCTATGTTCTCAGGACATCTTCGAACGATGGATCTCAATCGCTCTCAAGTAAACAGAGCAATTGGATGCCATGAGAACAGAAAAAATCAATGGAATTCAATGGATGATGACATTGGTTTTCACTGGTTAGTGATGTCATCAAGTTCTATAAAATGACAGTGTTCAGCCCTGGAACACTCATACAATACAATCTATGTTCTCAGAATATCTTCGAACAATGATTTTCAAGTGCTCAAGTGAGCCCAACGGCCTAACAGTCGAATGCCATGAGAAAGGAAGACTTGAAAATCCTTCATTTATCAGGAGGGCTCTGAAGTGAACCAAGTTACACCCTTCCTTGCCCGTAGTCACGGACAGCCGCTGTTCGATCATGTGCATATTGTGCTCGATGAGCTTCTTGTCGTTGAGGGCAAGCATGGGAGTCGGCAAGCCCAGCTCCTCCATGTCCGAAAGTCGCTTTTTGACCCAGCGGCTCACTCCAAAGCGTTTTAGCATCTCGGAGTTGCAGCCCATGATGGCAAGCGTGGCGCCAGCTTGTTGCACCATCTCTTGCGCAATGTCTTCTCCATGTATTGATCCAGCTGCATTGCGGCCTCTCTGATCTTTGCCTTGTTCCTGCCTGTCTAGCAACTTGAGGCAAGACAAAGTGAGCCCCTGAATCATTGGGTGCCTGGCAAGCTTTCCCTCGATCGAAGCTTTGGCAATGTGAATGTTGATCTTGTCCATGATGGAAGTGCAGCCGTCCTCCAAGGCATTCTCAAACACCTGCACACATTGCAGAAGTCCAGGTTTGACTTTGAGAGCTGTAGACACGTTTACCTGAACACAAGGCATGACCACCGTGTCAATGAAGCTCTGCTCAGGGTCGCTTCGGACATCCTTGTGATGGCAAAGGAAGGTAGAGTTGACCCAATTCCTCAACTGCAGCAGATTGAGTTTCATCACGTTGTCAAAGGGGGTGGGATTGGTCTTATAGAAAGTGTCTGCCTTCATCTTCTCGACAACTTCCTTCTCTTTCTCAGCGGACAGGTACATCATGGCAAAAAGCTTCTCAGCAGCGAACTTCTTTTTGGCAAATTTCACAAGGGTACGCCTGATGCTGTGGCTATGCAAGAGCTTTGTGCATTCAGCGCACGCATGATGATTGTGTTCACATAGCTGTGTGCAATTTCCATGACGGATAGTCATGCTCCTTCCTTGATGGCTCGTCGTGTAGCTATGCTGCAGGAACTGTGGATCTTTTGGAAGCCAGTGAATCCACAAGAACAAATGGTGGGATATGGCATGCAGCTTGGTGACCACCTCGGACTCCTCTGGCTCCTTTGGGATCACAATGCCTTGGCACTTCACCTGCTTCGGAGGTGCTGGCGGCGCGCGACGCTTGGCTTCTATTGCTGACAAAGCTCCCTGGTGAGTCATCGTGTCGACATGTTGCTGGAGATACCGTCGGCAGTCCTTTCTGGCTCTGGACACTGCATCAATGACTTTTCCCATGGGCTGCTTCCTGGAAGTACAGATCGTGCACCTCACTGGAATTTGCTGCTTGTGGCCGTAGCTGGGAATCACCTGCCGGCAAGCCAAATGTATCTCAGCAAACATCAGCAAACGTATCGGTTTGACGTTCAAAGTCTATAAAATGGATGGGTGCAACCTCCACAGTCTGATAATTTATATCATACATTATCATACAGTAAATTATAATATATTATAGTGCTTTGATGTACTATGCAACCTCACACCTATTGTATCCTATTGCATCCTATTGTATCATTTTTGTCTCCTGCCAGGTGTTGCAACCTTTGGGGGAAACCATTTGATCATGAAAAAATGTGACAAACTTCTGTTGGATCCTGGACGTACTTATTGTGAAACCAACCTCACCACGCAGACACACCTGGCCTCAAGGTGAGCATCAATGCTCGTAACCAGGGCGTGGAAAGCAAGTGCATTGTCTACCTCTGCATCGGATTCTTGTTCCTCCTCTGCGTGCTGCTGCTGTGGCTCCTCTTGCGGCTCAACCCCGGCTGAGTCTGGAGCTATGTTCTGGTTGCCTTGCAAGGCAAACTCCATAGATTTCTCAGCCATCTCTGCATCAAAACCGGCTGACGCCAGCAGTGACCGGCAAGCCTTGCACTCCACTTCCTGCCACTTCGCTGGATCCCCCACCAGAAAGTCCTGCAGCTCTGTGTATTTGCCGACCGGACAGCCCGTAGCTTTCCTGCATCCAGCCAGCCTGCAAGACAAAGTGTTGCAAAATGATGCTAACTTGACAGATTTGCCACTCTATAAAATGACATGTAGCAGCTAGCTCCATTCAAAAGAAATCACTCTGCCTGCTTAAGACATCTTAAAACATCTTAAAAACATGAATCAGCTGTAGAGACTGGGACTTCTATGAAATCTATGTGTTGGAGGTCTGTGACTATATGATTTGGTTTGAAGTCCCATACCTTCTGAATTCTGAATCCCCCAATCTTGCCTCCAGTGTTCAGTCTGCCAGTCATAGTACGTGATCTTCATCTTTGCCATGTATCTTTTCAATGCCGTCAACTTGACATCTCTGTCCGTGACTTTCCTTCGAGCAGCCCTGCCACGTGGCTTGCGAGGTCGACGACCTGCCCCCTCTTTCTCATCAAGACCCTTGGTCTCTGCAACATCAACGTCAATCTCATCCTCAATGTCATCCTCGCCCTCGACTTGTTCACCCGCTTCACCGTTCTCATCAATGTTTGCCTTGCACTTCTTCTGCTTCTTCTGCTTCTTCCGCCCTGCTGAAGTCTTTTTTGCAAATTTCTGGTTGATGACAGGGGACGAAAACCCAGGGGCCGTGCGAGTGCTGGCGATCCGTTGGGGCCTCGTCTGCTTCTTTTCCTCTTGACTGGCTTTGGGAGCATTTCCATGTTCTTTGGGAACATCTCCAGGTTTGGGCTTCTTCTGCTTCTTTTCCTCCGGAGTGGATTTGGAAACATCTCCAGGATCTCGTCGAGCTTGCCGTGGTGGAGTCGAAAGTTCCCTTTTCACTGAAGGTTCTCCGGCAGGCTCACCAGAAGCCTCAGCAAAACGCACCTGTGCGTCTGAAGCTACATACATTTGCTCATAGAGAAGTTGCCAACTGTCGGAGTTTCTCACCTCTGTCCATCTTGCTGCCAACTTCGATCTCCATTTTCTAATCACTGCCACATGCTCTTGGCTGTCTGCGTCACACTTGAGACCATGTATATCATCCTCGACCAGACATTTCACGCTCCACAGCATGCAATTCCCATCTGCCGGAACTTCTATCGCATGCAACTTGGATCTGTGACATTTTTTCTGGAAATCATGCCACTGAGCTGCCTGGGTCCATTCACCCTCCAATGAAGCGAGCTCTACCAGCGCCAGTTCCACATTCTCAGAGCCATCCCCGAATCTCAGCTTTGTGCGCTGCAGCTTGTTCGAGGCTTTCTTGATGGCTGTTTTGAGATAGCTCAGGTGTTTCTGGTGGCGTTCTGTCCATGCGGCTGCTAGTTTCTCAAAATCTTCATCTCCTAGTTCTTCAGCACAAAATGCCGGTACAAAGTGATTGATCCCAGCTCCTCCAAAGCCCGAACTGCAAAGCACCAAAATGCCCATACGAGTGTCTGGGCTTGGAAGATCCAGATGCTCTGGGGAAACCAAACCCTCCAGATAATCTGTTGCTGGTTGTGGATGGAGCTCTTCTTTATGTTGGACATCTGCGCAAAGCATGAAGTTCATATCCCAGATCTGTTTGGCCCCAAGCAACAAATCCACCACGTCGCACTCTTCGCCCATCTTCTTAACCAGCTTTGCTCGTTCATCCTGGGATGCAAGGGGGGGCTCTCTGTGAGGCATGGGCTGCAATGTGTAACTATGTATGAAGGTTCCTCAGCCCATGTCATTTTATAGACAGCAATCTTCACTTCTGGATGTGCTGTCTCATGTGTGCGTGTTTGTGCTAGACAAAAATTCACTTGGGCCAGTCAGCCCATATCATTTTATAGGCAACCACCAGAATCTTCGTGGGTTTGTGAAGCTTTGTGGCCAATTGTGGCCAAGAAGCTATCAAACTGGCCAGTGAAGCCTTTCTTCCACCACTGGCATCTGTCTGTCCTGCAACAATGCCATGCCACCAGTAGGATCCAGTAGGAAGGAAAATGCGCTTACCATATGTTACAAAGCCAAATGATAGAGAAGTAAGTTCGATGCCTGGCAATGCATTTGAAATTCCATGGAATGCCACGAGAAAGAAAGGCTGTGATTATTCTTGGAATCTACCCGCAGTGTACCCATATGAAAATGGGTTCGGATTGTAAACACTCTGTCCTGGCTCTTGTTGCTGCGATTCTGCTGCCTGTGCACAGCTGAAAAGCAAAACAAAAAACGAAACCTTCATAATTCATAATCTTTGGCGCGTGCAGCCCCAGGACCCCTTTCTCTCCGAGGACCTCTTGCAAAGGAAATCTTGTTTAATAACTTATATACGTATATTGTATATTATTGTATATCATATGATAGTATTTCATAGTATAATATAGTGTATATAAAGATATATTGTATTTTTCCCTGTAAATTATATTATAACGTCTCAATATGTGATGAACCCTGGCCTTCATAGGCGACTGCACGTTTAATCTTCTCAGCCTTTTCCGGGGCTTCACCTCTGCTTCTCCAACACTGACGATGGGTCCTGGCCAAGGGGCGTGTTGTCTGTGAGACTTGACGGGGTATGTCGTCTATTCTGAGATGTCATATATGGTATTATATGGTCAACATTGTCCACAAAGTCAAGCCAAGAGGTAGTTTGAAGATGTTTGAAGAGGTTCAACGGTTCTCCTGCTGCATTTTCAGCAATCTGCTCCTGCCACGGTGTTTCCATCCACAATGCTATTCACATTATCTTACAAACAGGTTGTAAACAAATGTAAACAGCACCGTCTATTTAATTTGACAAAACCCTTGCCTCAATCTTCACTTCTGGATGTTGCCTTCTCTTCTGCCCTTGTCCTGCACAGAATGTCAGGTAGCTTAAGGAAGTTAAGACATGTTAGGACAACTCCTGACATTTTTGTTCAATTTTTATGCCATTTCCATCCATTTCCATCCATTTCCATCCATTTCCATCCATTATTTCATATTATTTCCATCCATTTCCATCCATTTCCATCCATTTCCATCCATTTCCATCCATTTCCAATATACAGTTGTCAAACCCTTTGCAAATATCTCTCTTTAAAGGGTCAAAACAGTTGATTTTATAGACATCACTAGAAACCACTGCATCAGAACACAAGCAAAAGAAACAAACCTGGCACCAGGCTCTCCAAAGATCGTCCTGCTAAATCTGTTTCCGGCTGCACTTCCTGCTGACGCGGCACGACACGGGAAAAAGATGAAATAAGATGAAAAAAAGATGAACAAAGCCCTGATGGGAGATGGGTGCTGGCTGTATCATAGTATGCATCATATTTTGATGTATGTGGATATATTATGATATATTGTGCACAAATGTCATCCTCAATTCCATTAACCTATCTCATCCACTGACTTGTGACGGAGACAGCAATGGGATGCAATGGGCAATGACATACTTTGATGATCCTTGATGATCCTTGATGATCCTTGATGATCCTCTCTCTGAAAAAAACAAATCCATTCCTGCAGGTCCTGCGGCGTCTTTGAATTCCTGCGTGTCTTCTTTTTTTCTTCTTTCACAGCTGCTTCGACAACAGTTCCTGACCAAAGGCCAACCGACGAGGCTGACTGAGTTCTCATCGTGCGGATGCCAGAATATATAGAAAAATGACTTATACCATTTCAAAGAACGCATTGGCCGGACTAATCACCAACAAAACTGTACAACAATGTTCAAGTATCACAGGACTGTCACTTGGGACTTGCCATTTCATAGAAATTACGACTTAAGGTGTTTAAGAAAGATCACTGTGGGATGCTGAAAAAACGAAGGCACACCACGCCCTCAGTCCTCCTTCTGCATCTGCTGGTTGCTCAGCATCATCCTGCTGCCAGAGATTGCTTGATATGTCTCAAAAGGAGGCCAAAAGGGATAAAAAGGGTACCTCGCTTTGATACATCCCACCCTATACTATCTTCCATATCATACCGACATCGAGGGAAACCACGGCATTCGCCACCCATGGCCTTTTTCTTCGTAGTCTTTGGTTTCTTCTTTGGTTGGATTTCTGCTTCAGCAGGAGCTCCTGACCGTTTCAACTTTGCAAGATTTCCATACATGCCCCAGCTCGTTTCAGAACATATCGTGACACAATTACCCAAAAAAACAAAGACAACATCAACATACATCAACGAGAGTCAAAAAACATGATAAAAACATATAAAAACATGATAAAACAGCACAAAACGTTCAAACAATGTTCAAGTATCCCAGGACTGTCACTTGGGACTTGCCATTTCATAGAAATTACGACTTAAGATATTTAAGAAAGATCACTGTGGGATGCTGAAAAAAACGAAGGCACACCACGCCCTCAGTCCTCCTTCTGCATCTGCTGGTTGCTCAGCATCATCCTGCTGCCAGAGATTGCTTGATATGTCTCAAAAGGAGGCCAAAAGGGATAAAAAGGGTACCTCGTTTTGATACATCCTACTCTATACTATCTTTCATAGCATACCGAAACCCGGGGAAAACCACGGCATTCGCCACCCATGGCCTTTTTCTTTGTAGTCTTTGGTTTCTTCTTTGGTTGGATTTCTGCTTCAGCAGGAGCTCCTGACCGTTTCAACTTTGCAAGATTTCCATACATGTCCCAGCTCGTTTCAGAACATATCGTGACACAATTACCAACAAAAACAAAGACAACATCAACGAGAGTCAAAAAACATGATAAAAACATATAAAAACATGATAAAACAGCACAAAACGTTCAAACAATGTTCAAGTATCCCAGGACTGTCACTTGGGACTTGCCATTTCATAGAAATTACGACTTAAGATATTTAAGAAAGATCACTGTGGGATGCTGAAAAAACGAAGGCACACCACGCCCTCAGTCCTCCTTCTGCATCTGCTGGTTGCTCAGCATCATCCTGCTGCCAGAGATTGCTTGATATGTCTCAAAAGGAGGCCAAAAGGGATAAAAAGGGTACCTCGTTTTGATACATCCCACTCTATACTATCTTCCATAGCATACCGACACCGAGGGAAACCACGGCATTTGCCACCCATGGCCTTTTTCTTCGTAGTCTTTGGTTTCTTCTTTGGTTGGATTTCTGCTTCAGCAGGAGCTCCTGACCGTTTCAACTTTGCAAGATTTCCATACATGTCCCAGCTCGTTTCAGAACATATCGTGACACAATTACCAACAAAAACAAAGACAACATCAACGAGAGTCAAAAAACATGATAAAAACATGATAAAACAGCACAAAACCTTCAAACAATGTTCAAGTATCCCAGGACTGTCACTTGGGATTTGCCATTTCATAGAATTTAAGAAACCATATGAAGCCCACTGGCCCACCAACTTGGTCTCAAAAATGGTCCTGCTGCATGTTGCTGCTGCTCGGTTACCTCCTGGCACGGTTGCAACCAGGGAACCAGCAAGCCCGGTCAAAATATGATAATATAATATAATATAATATATAATATAATATAATATAATATATATATAAGTATCACAAAAACACACAAGTTCATTAAAAAAAATAGTGCACATCATGTGTCATCATGAATCATCTTGCATCATCACCATTGTCATGATATGACATCATATTTCATGAGTTTACATCATGCACAATGATCATCATCGTGACGTCTGTTCTTTTTTCATCTCTCTGGCGGCTCACACCCAAGATCTTACATCACAGCTTCTGCCTCTATCGTGAAGCACTGAAACACCTGCAGCAAGGCATCTACCTAAAGCATTTTTTGCATACTCGAAGCTGCACAGGATCTTTCATTTGACAGCATCCTGCAGCTAAATGAACGCAATCACCCTGTCTGCTCACATAGGCAAAAGCCTGATCAAGATCAACTTTCGTTTCATTCTGTCTTTTGCCAACACTCTTCGAGGGAAGTGCTTTCCTCATCGCAAAGGTTCCCACAGTCGTGGAAGGCAAGGGCTTCTCGTGACGGTTGCATGTTGCCTGACCCTGACAGCACCAAGCTGAGAGGAGGGTTCCAACGAGAACACCTGGCAGGAACAGAAGAAGCACAAGCAAGACGTCCAGCAAATCCAGGACCATAGCTACAAAATGCTACAAAGGTAAAAGCAAGCCGTGCGTAGACGTGGAACAGCAACAGTTTGAGCCACCGAATGCTTGTGGGGTGCCAAACCAGCTCGAAAATTAGAACCAATGGTATCCAATGGTGATGTCTCAAAGTAGAGTAAAATAAGATAAAATAAGATAAAATAGTTGTGCCATGTCGTGCCCATGGAATCTGACAAACCTTTCTAACACTTCAAAATGATTCAAAATGGAGGTCTTCGGGCATGGCCACGAAAGATATGGAAAAACGGTGTAGGCCCAACCGAAAATGTCCTCGGCACGTTCTTGTGCTTCTTGCTCTTGTTCCTTCTCGCTGTCCCCTGGCATTCACGGCGCGCAACCCTCCAAAATCGAAGCCGTAACGCTCCCCAAAAAATAAATTTAGATGTTCTTAGGTTTTTGATGGTTTTTGTATGTTTTTGTGGGACTCAAGACTCAAGCTCTATCATTTTATAAGGGAACTTCCAACGGGGATTCAAAGAATATCATGCAAGCATACGATTTGTTGGTCTTGGATGGAGTAAGCTGAAGCAAAATCAGGACATGTATGGACATTCACAACCAATCAAAATGCATCAAAATACTATCAGCTGACGTCAATGACAC